ACTCCTTCAGAAGATACAAGGACCAGCAAAAAACTTCTTATTAGGAATACCTGGACTCTTGGAGAAAGATTACAGATATATCATCCAACAACTCCAAGATATGTATCAAGACAAATGCATCGGTGGAGGGATAAGAGACCTCTAACAAATCTCCCAAGGAGCCAATGAAAAAGTACGAGACTTTGCATCTCACGTACGAAGATTAGGAAACCAAATGTTGGGAGAAATGCCCAGTGAATTAAAAATCCTCAGAAGAGAAGGAGAAGAATCTGCTATCACTACAAACCTCTTATATAGGGAAGAATTTCTTCAATACCAAGGAAGTAAAAAATTACTGGACAATATGTTGAAGACCTATTTTATACAAGGATTGCGTAGACCCATCTATGCTTGATTCCCAGTGATTCTATCTACTCTCGAGCATGCCATAGAAATGGCCATGAACATCAAAATGCTTCAAATAAAGATCAGAGGATCTGAAGACTACGAGGTCTACCAAATCAGAAAAGGAATGAAAAGCTTAAACACCTTTGGCGTACAAGGAGCAGAAAAGGAAACCCGCTCCTGCTACAAATGTGGAAAAGTTGGACATCTGCGAAGAGATTGCTATAGAAATTGCAATCCCTACAAAAATCAAGATAAAAAACAAGTAGGTTTCTCAAAAAGGATGCCTAGCTATCATCAACACAGGAACAGAGAAAATACAGCTAGCCATGAGTCCAGATCAAACAGAAGACCTCCAACTCCATCTAGATCCTCACAGGGACAAGGATTCAATAGATCATCTTCTAGAAGCCCGCATAGAAGAGTGCGCAGCAAGAGTCCTCTTGGGAATAATCGTCAACAAAGAAAGCATGAAGAGGATCCCAAGGAGACGTATCAACCTTTTGGATATCCCTCAACAAAAGGAATCCACCACATTACAGAAAATACCCTTTTGGAATCAGAAGATGAAGAAATCGAACCAATGTATTCAGCAGAAGAACAGTCTGACTCGGGAAACGAGTACGGACCGGAGTTTCTGTAGAAACATCTCAGAAGCTACCTGTTGTCCTTATTATTGCAATCTAAGGTTTTACACACAAGGGTTACTAACTACAGATTACAAAGGACTGAGTCACTTGTGTGGCTTCAAGTACTTTCATTCCCTTCCAGAACACTCACACAAGGCAATAAATACAATGTCCAAACATACAATACAAGACTAGACAAATACAAGTATTATGTTTCCAGGACTATCGGGAATCCGAAAACATTCCAAGAACAAACTCCAGGTTAACCAGCTAGCTTTACTTGGAATGATTCTTTAAGGTTACTTTACCCAGAATTCCCCGATGCAGGAAAAGGATCCTGTTTAAATACATCCAAAACACAGATACAGAAATGAGCAGGGGAAACACAATCAACATGTACGGACTTGCATGACCCCATCATTGTGGGTCAGTCTAACCTCTATGAGGGAGGATCATTAGTCACAGAGGAAGGAAGGAAATATCCATTACTGTTCCATTAAATAAAAGAGGGTCATGAGGGAATCTGCACTTGGTGCAAGAACTGTCACTCAAAGGGAAGAGTGAATGCATGCCACATAGACTTTGCAGTTAATGTAATAATTACAGGTTACTGCATTACAAGACATTTGGCTGAGACATTTCTTTTGGGAAGAAAGACACCTGCAGGGATTTTCTCCTTAAACTTTTCTCAAAAAGATTCAGAGCAAAAGCAAAAGTGAACACCAAGCGCAAGCACAAGTGTTACTAGGCCCTTTTCTCCTTGTGAACCTTTTGAGGCTCTTAAGAGCTTCATGGATATGGTAATTGTTATTACCAATCCATTGGAAGGGGAATTGGCAAGGAGCGACTCAGAGGCCGGTTTCCTGTTCCATTCCTCAGTCTGCAGGAAGTGTTCAAAAGTTCACATCCTCCGATTTTGCTGGTAATTTTATATGATCTTTCTATTACCCTTAGTAGCCTCCATAATTAATTTTAGAATTTTCTGAGCAACTGTTTTCGTTCGCCAGTTAAAAGTAGCGTACAACGCTATTGAACTTTTTTGTAGAAGTTGATGGGTCTCCTAGCGTCCGATAAAAAAAAAAATTGTTTTTTCGCATCGATCTTTTCCAGTGCCAGCGTTCAAGAGGTAAGAGGGTCGCCTTTGGGACAATCGTCAGTGAAAGTGTTCTTTCAAAAAGAAAAGTGAGTAAAAGAAAAAGTTTCGCGAAATCTCGGAGTGCACTAAAGTGTTTTGTTCTCTGCTTCACAGATGGAGCTGATTGTCGTCGTGGGACTGGTGTTGCTGTCATCGGGCGTAGCGGGTGCGGATGCCAAATGCTACGTCTTCCAAGGGTCGCTGACGTGTAATGATGTCTGCGGCGAGGATGTGGACCAGGCTGACCTGTTTGGAATGCAGGTGGCCTTTCTTGGCAAGGTGTTGGACCTTGACTGCGTCCGAGATAAAGGACTTGAGGTGAGTGATTGTAGATATGAAGTGGAGAGTGATTGTGACAAGTTCTTTGGGTCATTCCAGAGAGTGGAAATGACCTGGCCTGCGCGCTGCGTCGGGCGTACGGACGGGATAGAAAACATCGTCGTTCCGTGGAAATGCGTCGGAGCTTGTCTTTTGACAGAGGCGCCATCTCTCCCAGGTTTGTCCAAACGTTCTTCGGATTCCTCATGAAAACACAGGGTAATAAGAAGGGAAAAAGTAGACATAGGAAAAACATCCAAAATTTGCTAACACTGTAATTGTCAATGTCTAGTTCCTTCTACCACTTTGTACATCAATGAAGACTATATTCAAAGCACAACACAAACAACTAAATGGGATATTTTCCAAGATACAACTTTTCAAATAACCACTTCTACTGAAGAAAATACTCAATCAACCATGACAAATACAGAACAAAATACAATGCCATCAACCGCTGACCAAGTATGGCCTTCTACTACTGTGCAAGACACAACACACAGTGCAACATCAACCACAACAGGTACATTGATAAAATACCTGTAAGTACTCTTATGATAAGCCATTTTTCATTTGTACTTGTTTCAGCTGGGCCAACTGCTGTCATCCCTGTGGTTAAGCCAACTGGGGAGATCAAGGAAGCTAAAGAAACTGAGGCAGCCAAACCCACTCAGGAGATTAATCTGAGGGTTAAAGGAGGGTTTGCCCACATTGAAGCAGACATTGATCCATGGACCATTCTGGAAATAATTTCCATGGTGGCTGGAGGAGTCAGTGCAACTTCTTTGGCTGCATTCTTGGTTTGGCTGACCAAGTACTTGAGGGCCAAGGTTAGTTTTTAACCTTATTATTCAGCTGTTAAATTCAAATGATTTTTTTTTCTCCAAGTGCTAATAACAGCTTTTTTACTACTTGCTGCTATCCTTCTTTTCTGTGCATGGCGATACTTAGCGCCGTAGTATTAGGAAAGAACAAACTCCAAAAGGAGAGGAGATTGAATTAAAATCAATGTCTCCAGTAAATTTTAATGAAATTTCAGAGAATGAGTTCAAACAATTTTCCCAAAATTATGCAAGCATAAAATCAAGATCTCCTCGAGTTTCTTCTTTCAAACCAGGTAAATAGAAAAAGCATGCATAACAACTATTTGCATGGTCAGGCACTAATACTATTGGGCCTTCCCCTTTTTCCGCGTTTTTCGTTAAATCTGTTTACAGTGGTCGTACATGCAGGACTTGATGAGGGGACTGGAGACGCCAAAGCCAGTGTCTGAAGGGGAGAACGGCAAAGAGAACGTCGGCAACCTTTTGGGCGTTGAGGACGTCGAAAAGGGGATGGAACCCTTGAATGCATTTTTTGAACAGCAAGAGACTGCTGTGTAAATTTTGTACAAAAGAAATGTGCAAAAGAAATATTGCTCGCCCTGAATGTAAATAATCAATGTGGGCATTTGCAATAGAGAAAGCTGTAATAAGTTGAAAACAAAGTCTCTCTTTTTTCCATGCAATCTTTTCTTTTCAGCCGTTTCTTTTTCCTTGCAGAAAGTCATACGTCTGGGTTCCAGTTACTGGATCGATAAGAACCCTGTAGAAGGATTCATTTCCAACCTGGGGTAAACTGGCATTTTAGGTGCAGTAGGTCTCCTTGCAATAAATTCCACAGTAGCCATTTCATCATTAACTGTAGACCTTAGTTGAGTCCTTGACCTCAATACAAAAGAAATCTTTGCAAATTCCCTTCCCTTTCTATGCAAATTTAGGCGCTGTAAATAAGAAGCTTGGCCTTGCCTGATTGCTTCTATAGCCTTTTCTCTGATGAAAGACAAATTGCTTTGCTTGTCATTATAATATTGTTGAATATCCCTCAATTTCTCTCTAGAATTAACTGAAGCCAGCCAGTTGGCATTTGGCTTTACACCAGTCACAATTTCAAAGGAAGAAGCTTTTAAAGCTTCATGTTTTGATGGATTGTGTACCCAAGCTGCAAATTTTAACAGCTCATCCCAGTTTTGTCTGTTTTCTGGGTCAAGATAGAGTGCAAGGTATTCATGTAATTCTCTGTGCGCTCTTTCATTTTGACCATTCCCTTGAGGCCTATACGCAGTTGTTGTATTTGTTCTTGCCCCAATAAAGTTTGCCATATCCCTGAATACCTCACTAAGGAAATTGGTTCCTCTGTCAGTGAGAATTCTTTTGGGGGCTCCAAAGAGACAAACCCAATCACTCAAGAACAGTCTTGCAGTTGTTTGCGCTGAAGCATCACGCATTGGAGAGAAAACAATCCAGCGTGAGAGGAGGTCTTGAATGACCAGCACATACCTAGTACCGCTTTGACTACTTGGGACAGGTCCCACAACGTCAATGCTGATGTCCTCAAAACATTCTTTGGGGATCCCAGTTGATAAGTAGGGAGTTCTATGAGTCTCAGTTAGTTTTCCGGATCCCAATCACTCTCATACTGCATAGCAGCTGCATCTTCTTGTGCTATTCTTTTTAGGTACTGCCTTTCTTTTTCCTGGTTGTTTTTCACATAATTTAGGAATTTCTGTTGACGACTTTCCTTTCTCCCTGCGCTGGGACTGCGGCTTCTGCTACCTGCTGAGGGGGATCGATTTCTCCTGAACCTGTTGGGGTTTGACCTAGAACGACCCCTGGCTTGCGGGCTCTTGCTCGATTCGCGGGGGAGCTGCATTCTGGGAATGGGGGAGCGACTTCTAAATGGAGGGGTGACTGACTGCCTTTTGTACGATTTGGGTTCAGCCCTCCTGTATCGACTGAGTCTAATTTGCGGGCGATAATACGCATTCTCTTGCCAGCGGCAATCTTTATGAAAATGCCCCGCTTTCCCACATGCCCAACAATTACCAGCATTCAGGGCATAGTCCTGTGGATTCACGGACATATGCATTCCTTTTTGTGGCATTTGAATATTGTGTTCATGAGGCATGAAGTCCTCAGTGACATGGAAAAGGCTCAAATCATGAGCTAAAGCATTGATCTGATATTCATTAGTATCAGGGACCAATTTCCTCAGCTCCTCAATCTGAGTAGCCAGCTCCACAGCATGATCAAAATTAGTGGGAACCACCATGAATTTACTGGAAATGTCCTTTCTCAATCCAGATAGGAAATAAGTCATCATCAAATCATCAATGATGTGTTTCTCTCCCTGTTGAATTAATAATTCATCCCTGTAAAGAACATTTTGAGTAATGGTGGGTTCTTTGTCATTCCCCAAGCGAAGTACTTTTAACTCACTGGGGGGTTCTCCCAACATTTCCATTCCAACCCTCCTAATCTTGGTTGCATAATCCCTGACCTTCTCATAAGGTCCTTGTCTAATCTTTTGCATCCTTTTGACTCCTCCTGATTTCACTTTGTTCCCATATTCTGTTTCAAGGATTTTGATGATATGCCTATAATCCTTGTCCAGCAGGCCTCTGATGTTCATGATAAAATCTCTGGCTGGCCCCTTGATTTTTTGTAAGAGAAGGGATTTTAGTTGACTGTTAGAAACATCACAGTCATTCAAGCAGAGCTTGAAGAGGGACCACCACTCAAGCCAAGATATTTTTTCATCACCTTCAAAAGAAGGGATTTGGCTCAGAATGAGGTTTGTGGCTGGAATGCCTCCCTTAAACCCTTCTTCTCTATTAGTCCTCATCTTAAAGAAAAGACTCTCAGAGGCACTAGGCCTATCTAATTGATCTAAAGAAAGTTCTTTCCTGAAGATGGATTCTCTGAGGCCAATCATTTCATCCATAGCCTTTTTCTTCTTTTCTAATTCAGCCTCATTTAACTGAGTCAACATGGCTGCTTGAGCTGCATCTATTTGAGCATTGCTCTGCTCTAAATTATCCACACTGGGTTGGAGCAGATTAATCCAAGATTCCCAGTACTTCCTCTTTGTGGTATAATTTTTGATGTTCTCTTTTAATACAGCTAACCTTTCAGCAGTAGGCTTTTTCTCAGCATTATCCTTTTCTGCTGTAGCCCTGTCTATCCTTTTCTGTTCTTCTTTGGCTAGGATTCTCATCTCATCAATTTGTGCTTGAGGATCACTCATGGACATGATCCTGAAAGTATGACCTGCAACATCTGCCATTTTTGAAGACTTTTAAAAATCTTTGGAAATTTTCAGGGAAATAAAAATTGCAAACTCAAATTTGGATTTTTAAATTACCCAGTGAATGCTTCTTCACTATCAGGAAAAGTATGAACTGAAGCTTCAAAAGTTACCACTAGTAGACAGAGCACCTTTTTCCCTCCAAACTGGAGAAACTCCTTTCTTCTGTGCTGCTGTCTCAGGATAATTTCTGAGTGAACTCTTTTTGTGATCCTTTTTACAGGATATTCTACCTCGTAAATATCGGTTCCTGGTTTCTTTCGAAGTCGTACGTTAATATGTATGACGCGCGGGGGTTCCGGGCGTCGCGGATTTTTCTTTTTCCGGTTTTCTAGGGGGAACAGATGGCTGCGAGTATATCGAAAAGCGCGTCGAGAATAGCGCGTCGTTTTTTCTTTTGCGGGCGCGACACAGGGGTGTCACGCTTGGCTGAGTTTGTGGAGGGGTGGCTCACAGGTACACAAATGATGTGCTGGGGTGAGGGTGCTCTTTTTCTTTCCTGCACTTCACCCTGAAAGTCGGAATTAGTATTTCTTTTCCCCTCTCTTTTTGCTCTTCTTTCTCTTTTTGCTTTTTTCCCCAGAGTGCTGTTTTAATGTTCTTTCTGCCTACTCAGGTGAACTAGTGTAGCTAACTCTTGTGGAAAAGAATTCAACACAACTTTATTCAAGTTCCTTGGCTTCGATTTTCTCGCCTTTTTTATTTCACTCAGGCAAATCAGCCTCAATTTCAAACTCACCGATTTTGGTTCTTCTGCTTCCAGCAAAGATGTGATGCTGTCTTTTACGCGAGGACCTATTTTCGAATTTTATTCCTGACCCAAAAGCTTCAGATTCTAAAAATCTGTTTTAGCTTTAACCTATGAGAAGAGCTTATTCAACCCTTATTCAGGGGATTTCTCACTCTTATCTGAGGTGGGAATTCTCAGCAAATAAAATTTTAGGGCTCCCTTCGCGGTTTATCCCTTTTGGATTTTTGAAAAACCAAAGAATTTCCAAGCAAATAAAATTTCAAATATTTTCAAACAAATTTTATTCAAGTATTTTTCTCAGGCTCAATACAACAAACCTTTACAAAATCACACAGATATTTTCCCAGGCTAATATCTCAACCTTTCCTTTTCTTTTTTACCAGGCTCAAAGAATTAAACCTCCTCTGTTCTTTTGGAAATTCAGGGCTCAACAGGAAAACCCCTATCTATTTTTACACAGGATAATCAGTCAACCTTTTGCTTTTAATTTCAGGCTTAGCAAACAACCTTAACCACTGATTTTACTAGTAGGCCAAATAGACAACCCTTTGTTTCTTTTCCAGGATAAAACAAGCAAACCTCTTCTGTTCTTTTGGATATTCAAGGCTCAACAGGAAAACCTCTATCTATTTTTAACCTTAGGCTCAATAGACAACCCTTTGCTTTTTACCAGGCTCAAGCAAGCAAACCTCAATTTTTTCCAAGGAAAAATTTACCAAAACCCTTTGTTTTTTCCCAGGCCCAAAGCAAGCAAACTTTTTTCCAAAATTTGGAACTTCTGCAGTTAAAGATTTTTAACAAGTTACAGGAATTCTACTAGTACTCTTCCAAGGTACATTTTTGTTGTGACATTTCCAAAATTCTTCAAGAAAACTTTGTACTCACTCCTTGGTTTTCCTTTGAAGTCTTCCTGATGTCTGTTGTTGGTTGAATCTTCAACTCAGGATTTTCGATCCTCTGATCGCGGGTTTGACGGTTTTTATTTTAACTCCTCTAAAAATTTGCGCAAATTCACACTGGCTCAAGACTTTCAAACACTTGACCAGACTTTCTTCTACAGTGGTACCTCGTAGTACGAACGCCTCATAAAACAAACATTCCGCAGAACGAACGTTTTTTTTTGGCAAAAATCAATTTTTTTTACCCTCGAACTACGAACAAAATTCGTAGTACGAACATTTTTTTTTCCCACAAAAATCTGAAAAATTTAGCAATGACTAATGGAAGACGGTTGATCTTGCCATTGATTTGAGAGAGTGCACAAAGTGTGCTCTCTTTTGAGTAAGGCTAAACTGGGGTTTACCCTTTGTAGGATAACAATTTTCGCTTCACTCATGTAAATAAATGAACGCTTTGGGGACGGTTCATATCATTAAAAAATTCAGAATTCATATTAATGCTGCAATTGCCCAATAGAGTCATCAATGATTGCCGAAATAAACATAGTACATTCATGTAACTGATAATTGATGTAATCGTCCTTTATCCCATAATATTTTTTGCATCTAATCAAAGCCTGTATGTAGAGAAATACTGTATTGTATGTTGATCATGCAGCTGAAAATGCAAGATCTCATTTTGTCTGCTTTTAAATTGACCAACCAGTAAAATCTTCCAAATTAGCTCATGCGCAATTATACCCCTTCTCAAATATTATTTTCCCAATTATGCTGATGATTATAGCGCGGGAGGATCAAAAATATATCGCTAAACCGAGCCGAGCTGACGAGCATCATAAGGCTGGAGAATAAATTACCGAAATTGAGAAAATTATTTTTAAAAATGGCGCAGTACCACGTTGAATAAGACACCTTATTACAGAAATTTTACATTGCGTGACGCTAAATGTACACTATGTACAGTACATTTAAAAGCATTCAGTCGTCCCTTTGCGTATTTCACATTCCTCATGAACATAGTGCGAAGATATTGTAATTACTGTACTGTTATCATCATTAAATGTACATTGAATTTTATGAATCTTCAAATTTAACAGGTCTTATTGTAAACATCACTCGTGCAGAATTTTTTTCAACTCGGCCGGCATGTTTAGACAGACTCCAATGCACACGCTTCCTCATCGCAAACATTCGGAATATCTTCCTGGCATTGTTTCAGCCTTTGGTTACCATAGTCTGAGTAACAATGAACTTCATTCCGCATATATCGAACAAATGTTCACAACATAATGTATATCCGGATACATCAGCTCGTCGTCGCCATTGGAATTCCAAAAACACGACTTTTCCATTCGTGAAATCAAAGTTTTCAGCGAAGTATATTCCGATATTTAAAAATGAAAATAAAAATATGGAACTATCGATTGCACTAAGAAATTGTGGTGGATGAGAATCGCGAATAATTAAAATTCTGCTCGCCATTTTACAGACAAATTTTTAATTTGTAGGCGTCACGCAATTTTTTTTTAAACTTCTTGATTGATGTACGAACTGTACATCTAATTCAGCTCTCTATTCATCCCGGAATTGAAGTCGTATTTAGCACTTTTATTCTCTTTGAATCGTAAAGTTATGCGTATTCTGAACCTTCAATACCACATTACGAACCTTTGCTGATTTGTAAACAGCATGTTCGGGTTAAATTTTTTGAGACATCTCATCGGCTGTTCTCAGACCTCGCGGAAGCCATATAAAAGCGAATCGCGCTGCAATTACGCATGAATGAGTGCGTTTAACGGGGGATTTGTCATTAATTACCGTACTTATTTATCCTCTTTTATTTATATGGCAGAAAAACGGGTGAATGAAAATTTATGAACCATGTGCACGACCAGAAATGATCATGCTGACAGCCTGATTTGAAATTACAGTACCTGATATTTTAAAACTTCCGAGTTATTACTGCATTTGGAAACATTTTCTGGAGAGTGGAAAAATTGCACTACGCAAATGAAAATCAAGCACCTATAAGTAAATTAGTATTTTTGACTCATTCACATGAGCAGTGTTTCCCAATCTTTTTGGGCCAGCAGACCACCATGCAATTATAAAATTTTTTTGCAGACTGGCAAAGCTTCATAGAACTTTTGCAGACTTGGAAGAGTTTTGTTGGGAAGACTGTATACAGGTATTTAGAAGGTTTCTGCTTTTTTTAGATTTTGAGTTAAGAACCAATGAAGCAACTTTAGTGGAATGTCTTCAAAAATTAGAGAGGTGGGCTTGAAGAAAGATTTCTCAGAATGGAAAATTAAACTAATTTAATTCAACAGCTTCAGATTTGTCTGAAGCATCACTATTAAGAGAAAAGCCAACTTTTATTTTTTCATCAGATAATATAAACTGCCATTGTTTTTCCGAATTTTTAGATAAGGATAACAGACTTCATTGCTACTTTTGATAAATTTATTATGCTGAAGAAAACTTCCCATGGACCGGCAAAAAACGTTTGGCACCGGTCTGCGGACCACGGGTTCCGGAACACGCACTGGTTTACATTATACCTGAGGCCCACAAAGAGATTGTGCAAGTTTACCTGAAGCTTATGGTTGGACATTTTCAAAAACTTCAAATGCATTTTAAACATTTAAAAACACAAACTCGCTGACTCACGGCATTCGTTGCAGCTGAAGCAGCTCGAGTGTACCACGTATCCGTCCACACTTGCTCCTGGCCTCAAGCTCGAAAGCTCCTGATGGCATGCTTGACACTTGGCTGCGAAAAAGACACATAAAGCCTCAGTCGTGCGTTGAAATCGTTATCATGATTCCCTATAATGATCAATCAATCAATCCTCACCCGAAGCGGTCAAAAATAGCACCGACATTTTTCTTTTGCTGCTCCGTCGAACAGTCTTTTTTTCGTGGGAACGGAAACTCCGCGAAAGCTCGATTGTGAATTATAAGAGGACTTATTTTCACTGACGAAAATCTTGCTTCGCGTCAACGCTAAATGAAAAAGAAACACGGAGATTATATAGCGGTATAACAGCGATTATTCGCTATCACAGGAGCTGCGGAATAACGGGGAAATGAACGCAGAACTTTCATGAATTGTTCCAAGAATACGTAATTATCGCACTTCGAACCAAATGAGATATCACAATTAAAAAATGGGTTGAAAAAAAGGACAAAATATTTCTCAGTTTGACGATTCATTTGTTAGTCATACTCAATATGTTCGATTGGAAGTCGGATTATATCCAAAAAATATACAACACCTACTTTAAATGGAAATTATTTTGCAATGTCTGATTTTTATTCCAGATCTTTCTTGAAAGTTCCTTCATAAGTTTCTATAAGGAAATTGCAATCGATTAAATGGCATGTCCAGCACGCAAAATCATTCGTAGCGAGAAAAACGCTCGGATACGCACAAAAAAATCCATATAAGCAACAGCGGCAAGAATATCAAAAAGCTTCAATTCATATAAAGTATTTCTGGCTGCAGCAGACTTGACATGGAATTATATTCAAATGATATGGAGAAATATTTTTCATGCAGTCCATCATCCGAAGCAGGGCAAACTATCTGAACAAAAATCGGTCGCAGTCCCAGTCGTGTCAAAAATATCTTATTCAAGGTTTTCATTAAATTATTGCATTCTTGGGTGTACTGTATATAGTTTTCCGTTAAAAAACTGGAAAAATTAAACCTGCACAATCGCAGGCAATTAAAAAATTAGATGAACAAGATTTCCAGGCCTAATTTACAACCGCGGAATATTGCTGAAGAATGCTTCAACTATTGAAGCGATAAAAAAAAAACATATTCACAACAAATGCCGCTTCACGACATTCAAGAACTTTCAGCACCGGTTATTCGTACAAAAACGTAACGGATTCCTCGCACATTTTTGGTCTTTCGATCTTCAATCGTTGTAGATCGATTATGCTGGTGTTGATGATGTCAATTGTACACGAAAAAAAATAAATAAAACCTCAAGACACCCACTTATATCCAATATGAGAGAGACGTCTATTATCCACGAGAAGTTCGAGCACCGCACTGTTACGCGTAACGGAGCCAAGAAGTCAATGAATTTATTCCTCGGAGTATTTGATCCGGTTCGCGTATATAACGAGGAAATGACTCATGCCGTGAGTAAGGAGCTTGAGGTATTGTTTTTCCTCAGAAAACTGACTACTGTATACTGCAGTTGATCTTACATTATTCACTGCAATTTTTCGAGAAAAATAATCCACTAAAAAAGGGGAGAAACGCAGACGTCGTCGACGTGCTTTCCGCGTCGACGACAGTGGCACTTTGACACGCGCGTATCGGCAGACACGTCGCGGTTTCCTTTCTTGTAAAGACTGGCAGCATACGATGGGCCATTTCGAAAGTTCGTGCATCAAGGAAATCGCCGAAAAGATTGGATAAATAAGGAAGAATCAATTAATCTACATTTTACAGAATTATGAAAAGCTGTCGCGAATATTTTAACGGATACATTAAATTAGACACGCTAGCTTTGGAGAACCCGAATTCCCCGACGAATTTAGTCTTTCATTTCTTATCTGTGTGGGAATCTCGGAAAACCTTGGTTCCCAC